TTGTTTGGCATCCGAAAGACCAGGACAACGCCACTGCACACCCAGTCTGATGGGATGGTAGAAAAGTACAACTGGACACTGGGACAGGAATTGGCAAAGTTTTGTAATAGTTGCCAAGATGACTGGGATGTCTTACTCCCTCCACTGTTGATGGCCTATAGGACAGCAGAGCATGAAACCACTGGATACACTCCAGCAAAGTTGATGTTTGGTCGGGAACTTCGGTTGCCAGTGGATCTGTTAACAGGACGCACACCTTATGAAGAGTTGCCTGAAAATGTGTCAGGGTTTGTGAAAGTGTTATCGGAATGGATGGATGATATTCACCATCAAGTGCGTTTAAACTTGAAAACGTCTCGTGATTCGATGAAGTTATTATAATTACTTATGATAAGAGATCTACTGAAATCAGCTTTGTACCAGGTTTGTGGTTGTATAGTCTCAGGAAGATCAAAGGGAAGTCTCCTAAGTTGTCTTCTCCATGGGAAGGCCCATATGACATAGTGGATTGTCTCTCAGACGTGACTTTCCAAATAAAATATGGTCGGCTAGATAAGCCAAAGGTGGTGCATGCCAACAGGCTTTGGAGTTATCACAGTCCAGGACATTTCAGTTGGGATGAAGTGAACAATGGAACAAATGACGCTGCTGAAGACGTGTCACCTGAAGAAGCCACTGTCAAAGAAGAAACTCTACTCAGTTTTGAGAAGGGAAACAGTGAAGCCCTTGATGAAGTTACTACCACTGATGTGACTGTTACCGATGATAGGACATTTCCTGATGAAGCAGATGAACCCCATATGAAGCAGAAGCCAACAAGATGAAGACCAGTGCTGAAGAAGATATGTCCCATATAATTAAGAGACTTTGTTGAATTTTAATTTTGTGTTTGTAAATTCTGTACATTCAATTAAGTTATTGTTAATTGTTTATTGGTTTAGTGTAAGTGGCTATTGTTCGGGACGAACAATACTAAAGAAGGAGCAGTATTATGACAGCGGGGGTCACGTGATGCTAGTAACACGTCACATTCTCGAAGGTTCGTGAATACTCTGGTGTTTACTAGATTTCGGTGTTCTTGTACATATAAGACCGGTAAGAAGTGACGGCAACAATGTAATTGAACTGCAGACAGAGAGAGACTGACAATTGAGTCGATCACGTGAGTCGTTCGTGGTGAATTATAGCCTTCGTTTAAGCTATAGCGTGACCGTGGAAATTAAGTGAATTTCAATGTTGTATTCAGAAAAAATAAACCAGTTTTATTTAAGAAAGGACTTGTATCGCTAAAGTTTCTTCGGGAAGTTAACTAACGACCAGAGACGTAACAATACAGTATAAAACGTCAGAGAGAACTATTGGCAATTTGGGAAAGAGAGGATGTGACAGGTGGACATGGAATTTAGCTCTCGTAATTGTACTTTAATTTATATAAAGAAATATACATTGCCTGACTACTTTATAATGTCGTAATAAAAGACTGGTCCATATCGTTTCATAGACCTCACAGGATACAGAAGGTTTCTTGTTTGATTATGCTTCATTCGTCCATGAGTATGGTCTACATTTATGTCATAGATCATTAGATGCCAACAAAGAACTATATTCATGTTACTGCTTGTTGCACTTGTAATAAAAAGGCCAAATATCCCAAAATTTTATCTTGTTTACCTTATCCAATTTTACATGACATCTTTACAGAGTATGCCCTTTTAAATGATTTGGCTCTTTTCTTTATATCACAGCTTTATATGGCTGGCCCCTTTATTCTAACTTGGCTGTTTTTGGTCAGATGTAATTACCTTTTGTTTCCAGCCACACAAAACTTTATTTTAATGAAAATAATTATTATAAGTACATATTTAAGTATAACGCTTTGGACTTTTTTTTTTCTATTATCGTAGCCACATGTGTTATATCAAATCTACATTATTAGTTGACCCTACAAAATGAATACTTAATCTTTGTCCATCAAACCACCCTTTGATTTTAAATTTTATACTCTCGAACGTTAAGGTCATGACCTAATACTAGGCTGTGGGATTCATTTACTATTAAAAAGTATAATATATATATATTTTCAATTATATACATACTACAGATATAAAACTGGTTGCATTCTTCAATTCAAGTCACTATTTACCCGAGTAGTTTTATTTTGTGACAATCTGTCTTGCCCCCAGTGGCACAGCGG